TTTGTTGTTTTTTTAATCGTGGATAGAACGGCATGCTTTGGAATAAAACGAAAATACAATTTTAGAATATTCAGAATTCAGTGAAATAGTTAAAAGTGATGCCTTGGGAGCTTAAACGCATGTTTGAAATATGTGCATAAAAGGCCTCATTTAAAAAAATATAAGATCCAGAATCGTTCATGAAAATTGTGATTAATTGTGATGAAAATTATGTATTACTCATAAATATCGAGAAAATTCTACTTATGTTATGTAAGCATGATCCCCATATGAAATCCAGAGTTCAGAAATAACAGTTAATTTGATCACATTCACAAGAATTGTATCCTGCCTAATTACATATTCACTATTATCGCTCTATCTTTGGTGCAAGAAGTCAGTTGACTCTCCCGTTCAATCAAGTTTATGATGATATCGAGTTACGAGGTAAATTTTGGATATTCGCAGAGGCGAATATTGGAAGACCCTTCTAGGGAAAACTACAAATACTTCCAGAAGCGTCGGAAGGTACTTACAGTGGAATTCAGAAGAAGAAAAAAACTTCCGGGCGTGTCTGAAGAATCTTTCAAATTAAATCGATAAAAAAAAATCCGGAGGTAGTTGTAAGAGGCTTTTGCAGAAATCAAACTGATTCAAAATTATTATATGTTGATTTAAGGGGGACACCGGTTGAGATCTCTAAAATAGGGGAATTTCTTGTTAATTTTTTTAGAACATTAAAATAAATGCATCCATTTCTAGATTTTAGTAGGGTAAATTCTCACCAAAACATTTCGCTGCATGTATTTAAACGATTCTTTAGTCTTTCAGCTTCAGACTGATTACATTTTTACGACAGGGCAAACCTGTTATGTCAGGTTTTTCTTCAAATGAAACATACACACCACAAAAAGTGGTTGATTTCGAGTTGCCGATAATAGAACAGCTGGTTAATACGCAGTTCAAATGGAACGGTTGCCGAAGAAAAAGGGACTGCCGACAATAGTCACACTCACCAGAGTAGTTTGAAGCGTCGTAAAAACGCTTTCAAACAGTTTTGTACAATTTTGTCGATTGAAATGGATACAGAAGCAAGCAGCAGATAAATGAAAACAATGAGAGCAAACAAACACGTCATATGTGCGCGTGACGCTGAAAAAATGCTGCTTAGATTGACGGGAATACGTAAATTCCCTTTTGTTATTAACCAACATTTCAGCTTTATTATCGAAAATGTTCAGCCCAAAATATTTACTTTTCGAAATCAAATTTATTTAACCTTGCGAGACAGGGATCTCGGAGACTATTCGATCAATTTTGATGATTCTTCTGCCCGCGATGTAAAAACGAACTATCTTAAATCTAACGTAGGATTTTTCAGATATTCCAGCTTTTCAATTTTTTACGCGAAAAATCGAAACTTTATTTTAACCGCACCACCCACCACCAACGTATTTGGGTAATTTTTCGAATTTTGAAAAAAAAACCCTTTGTGATATTAGATATTTTAATGCAGAACTCAAAACACTAATTACAGTCAAATTTCCCAACAAACAATTCAAGGTCACAAATAAGCATACACATTGAATAAATGCTGTATAACACTGTACAGTGCTGAATAAAACAGGATGTCGAATTATGTGCTGAAAAAAGCTCATTTCGATTGGCCTTTATTCCACCGTTTGCTCTGATATGATTAACTTACTTATTAAAAGCTTCATAAACGTTGACTGTCTTCCTGATTCAGAACCAGAAGTTTGATATAATAACAAACTGAATAAGTGTAATTTGCACATACATTGTCGCTTTAATTCGACTGTTTTCAATTGATTTAATAACATGCTTTATTAGATGTCTAATAAATGTTCTCCAGCTTCATTATTAGATTTCATTGCATTGCTTTACAATATTGCTGAATAAAGGTGAACACAGTCAGCATAATCGCTCTTATACCACTGTGCATGTTCAAATCAAATGATTTGTAAATGCTTTATAAACGACGTATTAGATTCATTATTCGACAACACTGATTCAGTCTAACAACAAGAAGAAATCAGTAGAGTAGTGGTTACCGTTTCCGCTTTCCAAGTAGAAGCTCGTGAGTTCAATTCCAAGTTCAACCCTTTTTTTATTTGTGTTCTACGTCTAATTAATTTAAATAGTAATCATCGATGACATGACTCACGACAATGAATGCATTGATCTGGTTTAAAATATAACCGAGCATCATTTCTTTTGACTTGGAGAGGTGAAGAGGTAACATTGGTCTCATTTAAAACAACGATGAATGAATTAATCATTCCCACAGGGCCTTGAAGGAGCTACAGTTGCGATCGGGAGTGCTGATAGGTATTTACTTTCAAGCAAGCTTTTTTGATAGCTCAATAGCCCATATGATAAATTCTAGGATAGCTCAGATGCCAAGGCAAGTGGCTGGTGATCGGAAGGTACATGGTTCGAATCACATGCAACGACATGTATAAGTATTTTATAAATTTTCTAGTATTTGTATGGTGCGAGCCACGTCAGAAATAATGAATACAATAACTGAAGAAACACCACACACCCTCTTCCCTGTCCCCGTCCCTCTTATTTTCGGGTTAATTTTCCCACAGTTAAATAATCGTTTAATAAATGTATACTAATGTCTAATGAAACGTTACTTCACATGAGAATCAAGCGTATACAGAAGCATCACGGTTTTAAGGAAGCAGTGATGCCTAATAAACGCTGAATAATCAAAAAAAATATCGTATAAACTCTGTTACAACTCAAATAAGTCGAATGTTCAATATTGTGGTTGAATAAATTCTCCAGATTTGTGTGAACAAAGCCTGATCAGAAGTTATTATTATGAATAGTACAAGTATTATTAAGCATGCAGTTGAATAAAATGGCCAAGAAGTCGTTTCTTCAATAGACGATTGTTTGTTGTTTGTTTAGTTGGGCTCCCGTTAGTTGGGCTGTAGCCCACCTAAATCGAAGACAAACGTCATTTTTGACAGTGCTATTTCTTTTTCGAGGGGCTCATGTATGAACCAGAGACGATGTTGTATAAGAGACGCGCGGAGAGAATAAAAGTAAATCTGGTTGCACGGCCAACTAATTTCTTTTTCTGCAAGATTTGGCAACCCTCAATTTTGTGTTTACTTCAGGTGACTTTTAATTTCAGCGACTGTCGTCTGCTTCAGCATCACGGTAAAATGAACCGTATCGGTAGTATCGCTATTAAATGGAAGTATTTGAAGACTCAATTTTTGACAACTCTGAGTGACACCAAATATACTACATTGGAGGGTATATTCTACAGCGCGGTGCACAAAATTATTCAATCTGCGATTGTAGCTTCCTATCATGTATGAGTGAAATCTCTCTTTCACAAATTGTACTATCTTGAAAAATTACACCAATCTTTGTAATAGTACGTTCAGACTACAGAGTTATAACATGTTATAGCGCTATCTTGATGGTGGTTTCTGTGTTGCAATTATTTGACAACCGTTATAACATGTTATAACTCTCCAGTCTGGACAGCGTTTAACAGAGTATTTTTAGATGTATTTCGTTGTGCTCGAGCAAATTTTTCGTGAGGACATAACGAGAATTTAGCTGGTGAATAACAATAATATTCGCTGTCCAATTTCACGTTTCATACGCAAATTTAACTATAATTATTTAAATCTCAACAGTTAACCAGTGTCTGGCTGAAAATCTCCTTAATAAAGACAACCAACCTCAACAATTAAATTCAACACGAATCTCAATACTTCCCACGCTTTTCTTCGTGAAGCGCTCGTGTTTATTTACATTGCTCGATTGGAACCGCGTTTGACGGTTCGATTTGAACTTTTGGTTTCAGTCTTCGCGCGTCTCTTATTTAACATCGTCTCTGGTATGAACAATTTGGATAGTTGGTAAAGGATTGTGATGATAATAAACAATCGGTGTATCCCTCAAACAATTTTCAACTTGACAGCTCAGCCCAACTAACGAAAGCCTTTCACTAAGTGAGCTAAATTAATAAACAAGAAATCTGTCTGATTGCATGGCTGCCAACAGCAGAAAAATAAATATTTCAGAAAATAAAGTTGAAATGTTGCTTGATAACATACTAAAAACCCGAAGTAATAGCATTTATTCTAATGTTCTAAAAAAAATTAACAAAAAATACATTTATTTTAGAGATCTATAAAGGTCTTCGCATTTAAAGCTTATTGCTTATCACTCATAAGCTTATTGTTTTCTCTCAACTTAGTGTTCTATAGATGCACTTCTACAGTTACTAATTGAGAGCTTTCGATGCCTGTACTATTTTTACATTAGTATACTGCCCATAAATGCATAACTGTCCCATATGAATAGGAAATCAAGCAAAGATGGGACAATTATACGAGTATCGGCAGTATAACTGTGTGGCAAGTACAATCATATTCTATGCCCAGGGAAGTTGAGAAATTTTCCAACCCGAGAAATTCCTAGATCTGACCGGGAATCGAACCCAACCACCTCCAGCATGGTCTTGCTTTGTAACTTCACCTTTACCGACTTAGCTGAAGGAGGCCCCGATCTCAACAGGTGTCCCCCTTTTAATTACATCTAGCAGTATATCGTGTACGTTTCAAGGTTCGGTGTTTTTCCATAGCTCGATATCCTCGCTAGCTCGAAGTCCTCTATAATAATTAGATTGGGATAGATGACATTTTTTTCTGTAGAAATCGACACTAATCAGTTAATCACAAAAGCTTGAAACATATAAACTTCTAGATTTTCCAACGGCAATAAATATTGAAAGCGGTTCATCAAAAGCTCCTAATGAATAGCATTCAGATCCCACTAGACACACGATTCTCGTCAGCCCATGTGGATTTCCTTTACAGTCGACTACCGTCGCCGCCACATTTGGATAGCACTATGGTAGGTACCAGATTATCATCTGTAACAAAGTAGACAGCAAAACAACCAACCGTGCAAATGTCTAACCAAATCCAGTCTCAAACACGCATAACTCATTCCACACTTACCCTAATCCGTTCCTTGGTATGCTGATCCGCTGCCGTGGAGCCGACGACGGTGGCAACGATTCCGATTATCGCACAACAGCAAATGAACCTGAAACGGCAGAGGGAAAGAACAACGACGGGACCGGTGAATGGAATATCGATTAGTTTAAATTAAACAGCAAATTACAATTAAAACTACTGACAGCAGCTAGCGAGCAGCCATTAGCCGCTCTCAATAAATCTCCCCTGTGATGGTCACACTCGATTAGGTATGTTGGAAGGGAATCCGAACGATAATAACCGACTGTCGGCTGACTAAATAAGATTGCAAATGGATGAATCCACACTCAATTTTCAAATCATTATCAAATCATGGAACAGTGAGGGGGGGAGAGTGTTAGAGCTCACGTCGACTTGCGAAATGAATCAATTGTAATCTATTGGAAAGACCCGCCACCACGCGCGTGGATGTGACAATTGCGAGACCAAGCTATTTGGAATCAATTAAGTGGAAATTTAATTCTTTCGATAGAATCATTTGTCACTCTTGGGACACCACCACCGTCAACTGTGCTGATTGATGGGCAACGACCGACGTTCCGGTTCGTTTCGACATTGACGATTGGTGAGTTTTATTGGGCTATGCTGAGCAGCAGCCAAGTCGGGTGGTAAGCGACTCCCACTGTTAAACTGTGTCAAAGGTCTTGCCAGGAGGCGAAGTGGGTACTTCAAACTCCAAATAGAAGGTAAACATATTAACAGTGTTCAAACAGTACTGGAATTTGTTTGAACATCAAAATGGATTGTTTGAAAGCATAGCGATCAGCGTGCGTCAATATTTTGGTTGGAGTGTTGAAATTGAGAAGCGGTTTCAGCGATGTTTGTTTTCCGATTAAAAGACTCCCTTTTGAAAGTATGTTGCAATAAGTAATCACCCTTAGTGTCGGTAATATAGCTGTTATTTTAGCAGCTTTTCTTTGAAAAAATCATTGATAGGTAATTCTCGATTCAAACCTTATGGTTATAGTTTAAATTTATTCAGATAAATAGAGTTGAAAATGTCTTAATGAGGTAGTGCACATTTTCATTAATTTGGTTTGAGGAAAAAGAGTCTATATCTTCTGAATTGACAGAATAATATTATATCATTTGAATACAAACTCTGGCTATCAATCTTTTAAATTTGTCGAACCTCTTAACGAAATATCTTTATGAAGAGCTTTGAGGGGGTTGGTTTATTTCCTTTAAATTCCGTTATAATTGCTTATATTTTGACAGATACGCGTATTTTGTCTACTACTTGCAGACTTCATCAGTGCCAAGTACTCAACACCATTAAAGAATCCATCTTTTATCTACTATTTAAACTCTTCTGGCTACCAGTTTTATTCCAATCATTTACATAATAGTCGGCATTATATCTCCATATGATCAGCATTTTATTTTCTCTATCAACTATACATAATTCTCGTTGGTAGTTATATAATGCGTCCACAGCAAGTCATATGCTGCAATGTTACTTATTTCTAATGATAATTGAACTGGAAGCAAACAGTGCAACGCACATGCCTAGCGTTTAGAAACCTAAGGGCTTAAATGCGATGATCAATTCTCTCTATCGGGTTTTTCTTTGAATTACTACAGCTAGATAAAAAAATAGAGATTATTGCAGTGTGATTTTACTTTTTAATTAAGGTTGCAATTACTATCAAAAACAACAGCAAAAACACCGAAATATTTTAAACCACGCGAGGATATTAGGAAAAAGAAAAATCAGTGAAAACAATCAACCATTGCAGGTTCGGTCTTATGATTCTAAACGCAAGATGTAATTTTAGCAAATGATTTAAGTCTATCGTTTAATTTTGTCGAACCTCTTAACGGAATCCCTTTATGAAGAGCTTTGAGTGTGTCGGTTTATTTCCTTTCAATTCCGTTGCTAATTGTTTATCTTTTGACAGATACGCGTATTTCGTGCCAAGTACTCAACACCACTGCTTTCGTATCTGTCAAAAGATAAGCAATTAGCAACGGAATTAAATGGAAACAAAGCAATAATTTCCAATTTAACCTTCTTCTCGATTTTTTTCCAATGCACCTTAACAATATTTATAAGACGAAAAACAACTCTTCACTATTAAAAAACTAGCATACCCGAACGATAACCCAAATGATACAACTATCCCATAAATGGTTTGGATGATACCCTGCGCACGTCGTGTAGCAAAATAACCATATAAATTTTATTAGGTTTCCCAGTCATTCATCTATCAGCAATAAAAAAAAAACAATCACGCAGCACTTGCTTCATCCCAAAATTCAAACCAACCAAAGAACATTCCTAATAGCTCCTAATCTGTTTTACTGGTCTCCATTCATTTCATGTTCATACATATGCCAGACAACATGCTCAAATTTGCTGTGAAGCTACTGTACGGTATTAGCTGAACATATGCATTGCAAATTTGATTCCACTCGTCCACAATCGAGTCAACTTATCATTAGGTCAAGGCGCCGAGCGCAGACGAATTTGACACTTGTTTCTCAACACCCGCATTCGCATTCTGGAGGAGCACATTCATCAGCATTTCCATCAGAGCTGTGCAGATGTATAGATGCAAAGACATATGCCATAACTAGGACCTTATTCACAGTCAAGTGTCAGTCTAATGATCAAATTCTGCACGCTGCTATTTAGTCTCCAGTGCAATAATGCCTTTTTGGATCAGTTTCAGTTAGAATGCATTAGGAGGTTAGCAGAAGTCTCCTTCATCGAGTTCCCTAACATAAATTTATTGAAGGTCTCGGAACGTCTGCTTGCAATTCATTCTCTGCACTTTGAACTTGCTGCCGAGTACTCAAATAATGGTGTGTGAAACGCCTGGCGGAAAATTTGATTCCAATGTTACCATCCCACCATTATGGTTGGCAAGAGCCAAAGTGTATGCAAGTTTAAATTGATTTTCGTCCACACGTTCTTCGGTACTATTTTAGAGCTTGGTAATGCAATTTTGAATTTCATTGTACACGGCTTCAACGTGGGAGAGGGAGTCCTTTTCGCACAGATACAATCAGGGTGGACCGTAAGAACTGCAGCAGCCACAACCAGCAATGTTCCTTCCAATGCAACGCAACCATTCACTTGCATTGATACGGGGTGAAGTGTGGTACTGTGCTGCGCTGTGTTCGGCTGCAGCCGTTGGTTGCTGCCTAATTTATTTTGACTGGCCATGTTCCGCTGGTTGGACACATTTTCTTGCAGTTGTTACCACACAAAATGGGCAACCGATGCATGATGCTGAAACGGAAAACGCACTGCGATGGAACTGAGTCGACTTATAAAATGAAATAAGTACCTCATGCTTGTGATTATCTTGCAACGGGTAGCATATGCATCATAAAACATGTTACTGTAGATCACCTGTTAGGAATACGTATTGAAATATTTAGAATATATGCTTGAAAAGCCCAATCCATCATTTTTGTGAAATGCCCATAATTAGTTTTTCCCGACTGTTCTATTGATTTTTAGAGAGCATAAGCCTAAATAGCATTCTAAAGTTCAAGATGATCTCTTCCTAGAGCTATATCACTTCTCAGTAAGTCATGCTATTTTTAATTTTAGGTACAAGAAAAATAATAGCAAATACACATGATAAGCAGGTCATGAAAATGTGCATGAGAAAATGTATGTGAAAATAGAATCTAGCGACCGGCGGGATTTAAACCCAAAAATCGTACTACGGGCACCTACAGTTGTGTTCGATAAAATAGTAGCGCATGCCGATTTTCATACAAAATGGTCAAATTTGACATTTTTTTTTTCTTTTTTTCTTTTGCTGCGTATTTTTCGTCAGCGAATTAAACTTTTTTTTGCTTCGAATTTGTTAATTTGCGTACTGAAATTTAGTTTCAAGTGTTGATAAAGTTATCATTTAGCGATATATCGTGTTTTTCCTGTGTTGAGGCGTCCAGTTTTGAAGCCATATTTGATTTAAAAAAAGAGTAGAAAATAGCAAGTGAAAAATAGAAACATGCAGTGATAAAAGAAAGAAGCAAGAAAGAAAGGTCCGCCTTGATTCGATTGACCTTGAATTTAACCTCCAAAATCTACGTCGCAGATTCAGTTCCATTGTTTGGTGTCGGTTTCATTGCCTCCCAGGAGCCCGGTTCTCCGAGTTCGGATGCCACACTTTCGGCGTGTAGTTCTATTGAGAGATTCGTCACCGTGGACGAGTTTTAACCCGGTTGGTGAATTAGCCCGGGAAAGTGCTGATAATGTGTCCGTCGCGAGTTTTGGTGGTGATTCTGTGGCAGACGTTGCTTTAAATTAGCAAGTTTTCCGCTTGCAAAAGTGTTCGGCTGCTGGTCTCTTGCCGGTGTCGGAGATTGCGACTAATCTGAAAAATGCCTGGACGACTGGACGGGTGTAACTGGTGGCCACGAACGGTTCCTGGGGAAAGCACTAGACGCGAACATCCTCCAAGGCATGGCAGTGCAAGAAAATTTATGTTCGGAACTACGTAACCCATGGATTGGAGGATCAAATTAACATGGTGAGACCAGTCCAAATACTTTTTACAATAAAAAAAAACATAAACTTAATACGTGCCAGGATTCAAAAGAACATTTTGAAGCTGGAAGTGTGTGTGTAATACTAATATCCAATTGATAGAGGTAATACATACATGCGGGGCTTATTGTAAGTGAAAGTAACCTTGGAATGGGCGTGACTCTCCACACATTCTGAAATGGGTTACTGGATCTGCTTCTAACTCCCGGACTAAAGCTATCTACAATGACCATAAATGCGACATTGTAGAGAGAGTTCTTCTATAATAACACTGCCGGCCAGTGGGGGTCAAAGGAATACACACACACACAAAATGGTCAACTTTGACATGATGTAACTTTGTTAACTTATGATCAATTGAGCTGAAACATTCACCAAAGAACTACAAATATGTTCAATTTTACGATTACAAAATATTAAATTTTTGGAAGCACCTGCCGAAAAGTGAGACACCAGGTTCAAAATTGTTAAAATTCCGTAAGATTTTTTTGAATTACTTTTTGAATTAGATTCATACAAACAAACTTGCTTTTTTA